GCAATAATAATAGCGTCAAGAACAGCAAGAAAAACAACAAAAACACAAACAACACAAGAACTTAACAACTAACATTATCATGGATCAATAACAACATAACATATACTTATTGTTGACAGCACCATCAACGCAACAACAAAAATAGGTTGTCATAGGACAACAACACCACCGTCAATGCAACAACAATAATAAGAACATGATTAACAATAACATCAACAACAAGAATAACGTCAACAAGAATAATATAATTCATGTACACAAGCTAAGGTATCTAATAAAGTATCACCCTTTAGAAGTTTTAAGACAAAAGCACCAACATTATGAACATGAACACAAACTGTTTTGCGCATAACAGAAACTACCTGTAGCTCAGCATGTTCAGGATCCACCCAAGTCTTGCCGTCGTGCTTCTTTGTCTTTGTGTGGATGATAACCTCATCCAACGACACAGACCCCCCTTTCTTCTTAGCCTTCAAGTTTCAATGAACATGTCCATTAAATTTTACATTTAATGTCCCCCAAATTAAATAACAAGTGCAAAGCTATTATTTTATAAAATATATCTTACCAATCGATTCATATTTTCAGAAAATGGAACTGAACCTCCACAATACGTCCCAAGAGCAGGACCATCCTCTTTTCCCTTCCTTCTGTTCTTCTTCTTAGTCTTACTCAACTCCAGAAACTCCGGATCCTCTTCCCAAACCTATACTTGTATATTTCATAAAAATTACTTGTACATAGCGATACGATTTCGTATGAAAACTATTACTAATTTACCTTCTTCAACTGCTCAAATGGCCTCGGGTCCATCTTCTTCTTCTTCAATCGACTTGGGTTCCTTTGATTGTACGTAAAATTCGCGTACCGTTCTGCAGCTTTCTTGAGAAAAGCTTTCCTCAGCCTGCCCTCATCGATTGACGGATCCACTCTAGCATTTTTCTACATTGACATCATAGAAAAGCAAATAATTTAGATTCTATTCACATATATTTATTTTCTTGTGATCAAAAGAAGTTAAAAAATAATTTTTCCCCAAAAAACCTTGAACTCTCGATAGTAGAACTCCTTCGTCGTCGTTGAGACTTTGCCCCACGACATGCCAGTTGTGTCCGTCCTCTCGTAGAATGCCGGTGTGATAAGACCAGCACCAGCGCTAGTGATTGTAACCCTACAAACATATATAAGTAGTGAACATAAAATCGTTAGGTATTTGTAAATGTTTTATGTCATACCATAATCTTCAAATGTTTACCGTACTTACTCGTCATCCGAATTGACATACACGAACTGACCCCGATGACCAGGACCCTCGTGATATCTACCCTCCTCGTCCTCGTGATCGCGGTCCTCACCATCTCGAACCCCACCACGGTGTCCATCTTCAATGCGGTCCTCGGAGTTGTGGTCATCGCCACCTCCGTCCTCCTGATCCTCAGTACTCTCCCCGACCCTAGATGCTATTTTCACAATAACACAATAATACATGCATTAAAAAGAGCTATTAACAAGCGTAGACATTGTTTCAGTTTCTTGATAAATGAAACATCACTCTAATGGCTTATCTGTTGGAAATTTTACTATATTAGTCTCTAAGAGGAGAGATGCATACCTGACGTACAAGGGCCAGATGGCGTAGTACGTGGGGTGGAGGGGGACACCTGTGTGTCAGTGAATGGACTCGAGGAAATAGAGGGAGTGCCTGTGGATGTAGTGGCTGTGCTCGATCCCTGGCGAGAAGAGGGTCTCCATCTACCAATGACGGACTTCCTCAAACGTGCCAACACCTCTCTATCAGTCTTCGTGGGGGGAGGCGGGTTCTCATTATCGCTCATTTGTACGACAATCTTATTAAGCCACAAACAACAATCATTTATTTACAAATACAAATGTATAATGTACTCAATTTCACAAAATGCAACTAAATTTTACATGAATTCTCAATAAACGCCAAATTCACTCACACAATTTCAACTAAAATTATACCTTAAATGCCATCAATTTCACCAAAAGTAATGCAATTTTTACCCAATTTATGTCAATTACATCTCATATTCACACAATTTCAACTATATTTCACCAAAAATGCACTCAATTTCACACAAACAAATTCAATTTCACCAAAATTACAAAAATAATAATAACAATAATAATAATAATAATAATAAATTGTATAAAATTAAACAAAAATACCTCCAAGTTCACTGCAACTGCAAAAAGGAAGAGGAGGTCCGGCGGGGGAAGTCTGTTGACCGTCACCTCTTGAGCGCTGCCGCTGCTCCCCACCGCTGCCGAACACCTGCCGCGCCGACCCTCCTGCCGCACCGACTTCCAAGGTCGCCCCAACCGCTGCTGCCGCCCCGACCGCTCCTGCACGCAGCCGCCGCTCCTGCCCGCAGCTGCCCACCGCCTCCCGACCCTCCGACCCGCTTGCTGCACCCACGCGACAGCGGCGGGGCTGGCGAGGACGTGCGTCGGCGGCGAGGACGGGCGTCGACGGGTGGCGGAGGGCTGGGAGGCTGGGCGGGAGAGAGAATTGGGATTAGGGTAGAATGACGGACGAATGGATGAGAAAAAACCAATCTCGATTTTGAGTAATAATCTGCGACGGAACTGAACATCCGTCGCAAATAATAAGGTCAAAATTTGACCAATTTGAATTTGCGACAGGGGACAATGTTATGTTGCAGAGTTGCGACGGAAAAATTAAATCCGTCGCAGATATTGCGTCTTTTTCCGGAATTATAACTCCGTCGCTGATTCGTTGCAAATCTGCTACGGAAACGGGTCCGTAGCAGATATCCGTTGCAGACCAGACAAATTCTTGTAGTGAGCCTAGAACTATTTTAAAAGTTCAGAGAAATGGTAATCTTTTTTAAGACCCTAAGAGACAATGGTGCCAAAGTGTTTTTTGGGGATCATATTGCTAAACCCCAAATTGCGTGGGACTTGATCAAGCAGACCTCTCGGGTTTTGGAAGATCTGAATGTACCCATTGGTAACTATCCAAGACTTTCTTCTCAACTACTCTGTAAGGAAGCCTATGAATGGTAGAAAAGAACTGATGAGAGTACGGAAACACCAAAGCGGTGGACTTGGGCATATTTCAAGTGGGCATTCAAACAGGAGTATATCCCTAAACGTTTTGGCGAGGAGAAACGTATAGAGTTTGTTGAACTACAACAGGGGAGTATGACGCTCCCTAAATACCTCCAAAAATTTACTCATCTCGCAAAATTTGTTCCTACATTGGTTAGCACCCCAACTAACCATATTGAAGAGCTCAGAACCAAACTCCGACCTGATCTCAGGTCACGAGTGTCCGTCATGACCACGGTGGATTTCTCAGCAGCCTATGATCCGATTGCCAAGGCAGACAAGAACCTGAGCGCTTGCATTGAGTATCTAAAAATAGATGATGCTGGCCCAAGTACTCGTCGACCTGCGAACTCTATTCCAAATGGGAAAAGGCCTTTTCAAGGACCTAGCACTTCGCAATACTCAAAGAAGGGGAAATCAATGCAAACTCAATCGGTAGCATATGATAACGAGTCAAGAGGATGGAAACACCCATTGTGCGATATGTGCGGAAAACACCACCCATGCGAGTGCTGGCTTGCCCAAGGTCTGTGTGTAGGTTGTGGTAAACGTGGACACTTCCGGAAGGAATGTCCCATGAACCTTGGAAAACCATTTCCGATGGCCCCTGTTCAAAGTAAGTCTGCATTAGCCCGACCTGCACCCAGTCAACAATGAACAATAGGATCCAATCCTGCTATGTACCAAAACAAACAACAAGGACGAGCTCCTATCCGTACCTATGCAATGATATGGCGCATTTAATAGAACCCTGATGCCATTCAGGGTGTTTTTTCCTTATTTGATACTTTCATGCATGTATCGATAGACCCTGGATCGAGGTTATCTAATATATGTGTGCCTATGTCTGAAAAAGCTGACATATTGAAAGAAAACTTAAAGCACCCTATACTAGTTTCTTACCCATTAGGACATAGTATGAGGTTACATCATGTATATCGAGATTGTTCATTGATTGTGTTGAAGGACCATAGTTCTCTGTAAATCTTGTCGAATTACCATACAAGGAGTTCGACGTTATCCTTAGTATGGATAGGCTCGCCGAACATCAAGCTGTTATTGATTGCCGACAACGAGTAATACAAGTGAAAACCAAGATTGGAAAATCCATTGAGGCGAAAGAAAAGCTAACACCTAAACCTACTGAATTCATCTTTTATATACACGCTAGGCGTCTCATTCGCAAGAAGTGTGAAGCTTATCTGTATAATGTATGTGACACACAAAATGAAACTCTTGAGCTGAAGGATATACCGGCGGTATATAACTTTTCTAACGTATTCCCTAATGAACTTCCTGGTATACCGTCTTCTAGAGAAGCAGAATTTTCCATCGATCTTGTTCTTGGAACATGACCGATATCTGCAACTCCCTATCGTATGGCTCCTGCTGAAATGAAAGAGTTGAAGACTCAACTACAAGAATTGCTTAATAAAGGATTTATTCGACCGAGTGCTTCCCCATGGGGAGCACCCGTTCTGTTTGTAAGAATGAAGGATGGCTCGATGAGACTCTGCATCGATTACCGTCAATTAAACAAAGTCACAATAAAAAAATCATTATCCTTTACCTCGTATCGATGACTTATTTGATCAGCTTAGAGGATCCAGTGTGTTCTCTAAGATTAACTTACGGTCAGGATACCATCAAATCCCTGTCAAGAAAGAGGACATCCTAAAGGCTGTGTTTCGCACTCGTTATGGTCATTATAAGTTCACGGTAATGCCCTTTGGTTTGACCAATGCTCCTGCAGTATTCATGGATCTCATGAATAGTGTATTCCGACCCTATCTTGATCAACTCGTAGTTGTATTTATCGATGATATCCTGGTGTACTCAAAGAATCGAGAAGACCATGCAAAACATTTGGAGGTAGTACTCCGTGTACTACGAGAACACAAACTTTATGCAAAGTTATCAAAGTGTGAATTCTGGCTCAACGAAATCACATTTCTAGGTCATGTGATTTCGAAAGAAGGTGTCAAAGTGGACCCTAGCAAAATAACTGCCATTACCGAATGGAAGGTTCTGGGGAATGTTCGTGAAGTGAGAAGTTATTTGGGATTAGGTGGACACTATCGACGTTTCATTGAAGGCTTTTCCAAAATCGCAAATCCATTAAACAAACTTATAAGGAAAGACGTGAAATTCGCATGGACTGACACATGCCAACAAAGCTTCGAAAAGCTCAAGAAATGTCTGACAAAAGCACCTCTACTGACACAACCAGTACCAGGTGTAGACTACACAATATTTAGTGACGCATCTCATAATGGCTTGGATGTGTACTCATGCGAGATGGAAAAGTAGTCGCATACGCATCAAGGCAATTGAAGCCTCATGAATGTAACTACCCCACTCCTGATCTCGAGTTAGTAGCAGTCGTATTTGCTCTGAAGATGTGGCGTCATTATCTATCTAGAGAGACGACATATATTTACACAGACCACAAAAGTCTGAAATACCTGCTGACTCAGAAATAGTTGAACTTGAGGCAAAGAAGATGGCTTGAATTGATCAAAAATTACGATTGTTACATCGACTACCATACTGGTAAAGCTAACATAGTAGCCGATGTGTTAAGTCGAAAGATGGTAGCCGAACTCCGGATCCAACCCACTCTCGAGAACAAGATCCATGTTGCACAAAGACGTGATAAATACTATCTGAAGACTAGTGAGCTTGTCTCTTAGGGGGAGAGACAAGACTTCACTGTGAATGATGAAGTTTTATTCTACAGGAACCGTTTGGTAGTTCCTAATGTAAAGTGAGAGAATGTTTATTGCATGAATCTCACAAAACCACGTATCCCATGCATCCTGGTAGTAATAAAATGTTCCAAGATCTAAAAAAAGACGTATTGGTGGCCCAAGATGAAGCGGGAAATTTCAGAATTTACGACCCGATGTCTGACATGTCAACAAGTCAAAGCTGAACATCAAGTGCCAAGTGGATTGTTGCATCCGCTTACCATTCCTGAATGGGACTGGGAATGAATTATGATGGACTTCATGAATGGACTTCCATTGTCAGTCAAGAAGAATGATGTTGATTGGGTAATCGTTGACCGATTAAACAAGTCATCCCATTTCATACCGATTCGACGTAATACGTCATTGAAAAAGTTAGCAGAATTGTACTTCCGTGAAATCGTAAGATTACATGGTAGATCGATATGCTTAAAATCCAAATAATTTCATAATCATCGATGTATTCATTTTAAATCATAGTTTAAATCATTCAAAATAATCATTTTAATCAGTAGATTCATCACCAATACATCATAATCATCCATAACAATAATCATCATAATATTCAATAACATTTAGCGGCCTAGCGTCAAGTGTTAATACCCTAGCTTACCGTCATGCATCAAACAAGTTCTTAGATTTATCAAAATATCATTTTAATTTCCAGAAATCATATTCATATTGATCAATATTGATTGGTATCAAAAATAGGATTTAACAGTAATTTGGTTTTCAGGAAAAATATCTGACCAAACAGTACCCTTCACGGTACCTCGGTACCGGCTAACAGTACCTTAGTACCGTGACGACGGTACAAGGTATCTCCGGTCGACAGGTACCGCCAGAGAGACTGGTGACAATGGTAACACTCCTATCGTCCTGGCGGTGGGTGGGTACCGTTTGGACGGTACCTAGCTACCGTACCAGCGATAGTGTTTTACCATCCACTGTTCATCGTCTTCTTCCTCGGGTCCATTTTCGAAAATATCATTTTTAGTCACCAAACTTCAATTGAACTATATAGAAATGTTCTCCAATGTTCATACATCATTTGGTTATCATTAGTTCGTGGTTTTAACAACAATTTCAAGGTCTATGATTCTTGATTCTTCGAACATGTGATACACAAAATTCAACCAAACAACCGTTTATGAACGTAGAAACGATCTATACGAACATTCTTGTCACTAGATATATCTACGGGCTTACCTCGAAGCTTAATAGAGGTTTTGGAAATTTTCCGGCGAAATTTCCGGCGACGATTATCCTCAGCTCCGGCGACTTCACACCAAAATGACAACAGCTCTACACTCCCCACACTCTCAGGAACTCACAGCAAGAAGAATTAGAAGAAATGGTGAAAGAATGAGCTGAAAAGGGTGTGTTTATATAGTAAGAGGAAGGAGAAGGAGCCAAGGGAGTCACATTCCTGATTGCTTCTCCGATTTTGGAATCAGTGTAATTTAATAGGGAACCATGTTTAGTCCATGATTGGGATTAATTTTAGTCCCTGTCACGGCACAATTTTTAGTCCAACTTTCTCCGAATTAAAGCCCAATTGTACCATTGCGATCGAATAGTCAAACTCTATCTAACGATATAATTTTTATATTGGTTTGCAATACTTTTTCCGACATCATATTTCTAGGTGTTTGACTTTGACAAAGTCAAAATTGATTTTATTGACCTTTACTCAAAAAGGTTCTCACACTTAATTCATATGATTTATCATCATGATTTATTTCAATAAATCATTTCAAAATGCATATCATAAACTATTTCTTCATTTATTCTTGATTTGGGTCTGTACTCAAGTTCTCAACCAAGGTCACACAATAAGTCAACATATTGGATTTATCTTTGTGAGATTTATTCTGATTGTGATATTGGATATCAAAACATATTTCACAGCGGCCCAAAGCCCAGTAATAATTTATTTTAATCAAAACAAATTTGTTTAATTGAATATTTAATTCAATAAATTTTAGGGTATGTTTTGGGGCATTACAACCCCTTAACTATTAGTTGGCCCATTACTTTTTTCAACGTAACACACTTCGACGTGTTGTGGGTGCTGTTACGATGATACTCGCAGTACCTTGAGGCATCTTGAATGCTATAGCTTTCCCGATATCAGGAAGGGGATGGCAAGGTTTCTACCGCGTGGACGAGCGGCCTGCCTGTCTGATAACTTATGGGGTTCGGACCCCTCCCAAAATCTTTCCTCTTCATATCCTTACTCTCGCCCGCTACATGGACGTTCTTCTTTTGCTTCTGGGCCTTCCCAAGTGCTTCATCATCATCTTCTTCTAACGATGGGTACTTCGCCCTAGGCAAATCTCCTGGTAAGTAGGAAGCGGGTTCCGTCGCAGCTCCTTGCGCACATCCCCTGGGGGGAGTGCTGCCTGAAGCATGCCGACCAAGGCTTGGTCGTCCGACCCTTGGATATCCCTTGCTTTCTTCTCCCATCGTGTTATAAAGTCTTTGAGTTTCTCCCCATTTTGGATCTTGACATTGAGAAGGTGGGAATAGGGGAGCTTTTGTCTCCGGCTTGACGTAAAATGTTCCATAAATTTATGGGCTAAATCCTTCCATCGATCGATCGAGCCCCTCGACAGCTTGTAAAACCACTCGCAAGCTTGTTCTTCCAGGGTCGCCAAGAAACAGCGGCACTGAATCTCCTTCGGGTACGCATACATGACCATATTTTCTCGGAAGCGCGACAAATGGTCTTGGGGATTGGTCGTCGCGTTATATGCCTTAATCTGGGGAGTCTTGAAGTTCTCAGGAAGAGGACACAACATTACCCTTTTTGAGAAAGGGGTCACCTCATCCAGAACTTTTTCGAAGTAGGGATCCCGGGCGTCTTACCTTTTCACCAATTGGTCGAAGATCGAACGCGTCCTTATCCCTGATCGGCTTTTTCTTCTCTTGTGAGTGGGCCTTGGACATTTCCGAAGATTCCACCCTTTGTTCCTTGAGCTTCTCCCTTAGATCCCCCTTTTGGGTTGATCTATATCTTGTAACCAGTCGAATGCGGAGATCTGCGGTCTTTTCTTCTTGGGATCCCCCAACCTTTCAAAAGTAGAGACCCACTTGAATGAGGATGTGTCACCTTCCTTGTCCAATCTCAACAAATCGTCTCTAGCCATAGCCTTCTTAATGGGCTTGGTCGCCCACTACTTCTGGGAGCGCTGTGTCTTCTTCTTCCTTTTCCCTTTAGACCCTGCTGGTTCGGCCTTCCGCCCGTCCTGTGCCCCTGTTATTTCATTGAAAACAATCTCCTAATTCAGGGTCAGGGTCACCACTAACTCCTTGAATTGCTCAGACATGATCCCGATTCGTTGGATTAGGAGTTTAGCTTCCGTCACGCTAATA